TTTTGATCATCATAAATAGTAAGAAATCAAGACTTCTGGTAGGAATAATTTTTTTCAAAGTATTTAGTTATCACTGGATGAGTCATCTATTAATGGGTCATTTAGTAATGGATGAGTCATTTATAATCAGTGTCTATCAGAGCACACCAAAGTTCACAGCCTAAATTACCTGGATCATTTAGTTGGAAAGAGACCCCATTTCTACCCAAATTAACCAGGTAGTTGTGGTTGATTAGAGTGGATCTAAAAATACATGGCCCTTTTCCCCTTTCCCTATAGGGACATGCTCCTTCATATTTTGATCCCAATTTATTTATAAAATCAGCATCGCTGTGGCTTGAATGGCTTCACAAACGCTTCCAAAGCGAAGCAATAGCTCAGAAAGATGAGAAATGGGTGAATGGGGAGCATTTTGTATTCTCGAACACCAACAGGACTCTGAAGAGTAAATAAAGAGCACCCGAAAGGTGAAAACTGTTCATTACAGTGTGAGCTCCTGAATTCCTGATCCTGAATCAGTAGATCAGCTCCTCCAAGCAAAATGGCATCATTAATCAGAAGGGAAAGAAATCCCCTCACAAGAGTGATAGGCACTGTGGGAAACAGAACTCAACTTGAAAATTCACTTCACTGCTGGTGGGCTGTTCCTGGGGAGAGCTTCTGATGAGAGAAGCTGGTGAGCTTAGGACGAACCAGGAAGGTGAGTGGGATTAACTGCATCAAAAGAAACAATGGGGTGCAGAGAAGGGCGACTGAATATGAAAAGGGACTAGATTTGATAGATTTCAACTGATGAAATGTGCCTCTTGACCTTACATGGGGAAATAAAATAAGAAACTTGAAAGCTTCATTTTTGGTTAAAATATTCCATCTATTGGGCTTCCCTGGTAGCTTGGACGGTATAGCGTCTGCCTACAATGTGGGAGACCTGGGTTCGATCCCTGAGTTGGGAAGATCCCCTGGAGAAGGAAATGGCAACCCACTCCAGTATTCATACCTGGAAAATCCCATGGATGGAGGAGCCTGGTGGGCTACAGTCCTTGGGGTCACGAAGAGTTGGACACGACTGAGCGACTTCTCTTCTTCTATGGACCTCCATGATAATATTCCCCATCACTCAATAAATTATCATCTTATAGTTCAATTATCATATGAGCCAGATCACCAGCTATCTCATCCCACCCCCTTTCATTCATTCATTGCACCTCAGGTCCCAGTTGTTTTGAGACAGATACTTCCAAAATGATCCATGTCCCTTTAGTTCTAATGAAATGAACAGGCTTCCTAGGTGTGCTTGTCCTAACCCAGCATGGACCTCAGTCCCAAGGTTCTGTTTCCACCTTGGATTAATGGAGTCTGCTGCCTTGTTCTACAGTCTACTTGCCACTCCTTCCAGTCTTCCTCTGGCATACTCAGGAATTTGCAGAATTTTAATATTAATAGCTTCCCCCAGATGTCCCACAGTTGTGCCAATCAATGCTTTAAAAATAATCTACATTTTATTTCTTTAATTCCATTAACAGATTTATGATTCAACCTTTCATCAATAGCAGAAACTTGTGAGTTTTTAACCACAGAAAGGAAGTTTAATCACTCCCCAATTAGAAATTGTTGCAACATACTCCTAAACCTCTAGTGAGAGCTGCTGGCTGGAGGTGCCCGCCTGGGGATGAATCCATTTGTGCCCCTGCCCTGGAGCCAAGGCACTGCTTGAGGGAGGAGAACACAGGGGCTTGTGAGCACCTTGTTTTGGAGAAAGGTAACGTGGCAGGAGGCTGCTACTTAACAACCAGTCGCCTCCTGAGCTGGAGGGTCAATCACTACCATGAAGCAGTGACCGCTCCAGGTGAGACAATGAGGTTGTTTCACGTTCGAGAAAGTCTGGAGGGTGAACAGCTAATGGGCTGATGCCGTGGAAGCTTGACAAGAATGCTGTTTTCAGTTCCAATTGTGTTGGAGCTTCAGCGCCTTCCTTTTGGGTTGAGTTCTTTTATTTAAACGGAAATTAAAATAAAACAGCTTGATACTGGGGACTGCCCCTTTCTGGGTTTTACCTGTCCATCATGTCTGAAAGTTTTTACCATCAACCTGTATAATTTTTGTAATCAGAAAAGCAACTGACATTCTTTAACACAAAGGAAAACAACTTGTTTTTTCCATGCTTGCTTTTTGTCTAGCTCAGTCTTCTGTGGACAGCAGTAGCAGCTGAGAGTTCAGGGATGTTTACCCAATCGTGGTCAGCAACAGAAGATGTTTGCTTCTGCTTTCTCACTCCGTGAGACAGTGAAATCAAAAACAACAAAAACGATGGGGATAAAATAGTCATAATTTCTATCCTGTTGCGGTTTGTCTTCAACTCGACTTTCAGTTCCCCAAAGTCATTCCAAGCATGTTGCCAGAAGTCAGCTCTGACATTAAGAGCCAGAGAGTCTAATGTACAGGGATGGGAATGGTGCGGCTTATGGAAGGGTAATCTGCTGATTCTGGCGCAGAGACAAGGCCATTCAACCTTGCCTGCAGTTTTAACCACCTGGGGAGCTTTATAAGACACTGATACCTAGCCCCACACATAAAGGTTTGGCTGTGACTGCTTGGGATACTGGCCAGATGAGTCTATTGTGTGGCTGAAGGCAAGATTCTTTCCTGTTCCCATCCCCACCTCCTGCTCTGATGAAAGCCCTTCTGTTTAGAGTAGTCTGCGGACCACTGGCATCAGCAACAACTGGGAGCACGATAGAAATGCAGACAGACCCTCAGGCCCCACCCCAGACCTTCTGAATCAGAACCTACGTTACAAGATTACCAGATGTGTCATGTGCACGTTGCACTTAAAGAGTCACTGATTGAGGCCTCGAAATCTCTTTCCTGAATGAATCGCAGTCTCTGAGGGGGTCTTCTAGGTTTCTCTGTTCTCTGCCATTTCAAGGCAGTCTCCATACTGTTGAAGGGGTTCACAATAAACCACGATCAATTTATTTTGAGCTGAGGCATCTGAGTTCCTGAAATCCCTTATCTGCCTAAAAGCAGAGCCTCCCCAAAGAACTCAGTGGTCATAAATCCCCTCTCCTACAGCAGCTCTAATCTTCCTTTCTCTGACCCAAACAGACACTGTCACAAGACTATCATGTCTCCCATCTATTCTCCTAAGGGCCCATGTATCTTTCCAAAGAGTCATTTGCTTTTCTGAAAATGCCCTTCCCACCACTCCTAAGAAGTCAGTTGTTCTCCCAAAGGGCCCCCCTGCCCCACCCCATCCCCTGTGTGCTGAGAGCTAAGTTGCCTCAGTCGTGTCTGACTCTTTGTGATCCTATAGACCACAGCCCACCAGGCTCCTCTGTCCATGGGGCTCTCCAGGAAAGAATACTCCTCCGGAGGATCTTCCCAACCCAGCAATCAAACCCATGTCACGTTCCCTGTATTGGCAGGCGGGTTCTTTACCACTAGCACCACTGGGAAACTGAGTAAGATGGTGTATAAGCCACGAAATCTAACCACCTCCATGAGTCACATTTCTTTGTGAACTCTCCTGTATGTATCTAGTTAAATCTGTTTTTTCTTTTGCTAATCTGGATTTTGTGACTTTCATTTGCAGCATCCAGGCAAATGGGATTCGTAACATAAGGGTAGAGGAAAAGCGTTTCCTCCCCAACACCATGACCATGTATTGCTGGTGTTGATAGGATAAAGTACAAACCCCTTCACCTGGCAACAAGGCCACTCAAAACAAGCCTCCAGCTGTATACCTCTCCAAATGTACTGTGTGTTCCTGGCTTCCTGGAGCCCTGCCACCAAGCCATGCTGAAACCTAGACATCAAAGCACTTTCATGAATCCGTACATCTGCACAGACTACTCTGAACAGTTATTTTTTTTCTCCCTCTTCTCTCCCTGGAGATCTCCCACTCTCAAGAACATCTCCAAGTTACCCCTCCATTCAGTCTTCTCTATTTTCTTCCCCCAAAAGGGTTCTCAATGCCCCCAATCTGAGACTCCAGCACCTAGCACAATACCTGGTGCACATGTTCACGTGCTAAGTTGCTTCACTCGTGTCTGACTCTTTGCAGTCTACGGACCATAGCCCTCCAGGCTCCTCTGTCCATGGGATTCTCCAGGCAAGAAGACCGGAGCGGGTTACTGTGCCCTCCTCCAGGGGATCTTCCCCACCTGGGATCAAACCTGCGTCTCTTTTGTCTCCTGCAGTGGCAGGCAGATTCTTTACCACAAGCACCCTGCACCTGGTACACAGGCGGTTTCAAAGAGTAGTTTCTGCGGTTTTGGTTTTTGTTTTGAGTAAATGAATGGAAGAAAAGATGGATGGATTGATTATGGAGAGACTAAAAACCTTGTTTCCCACATCTCTCCACCCATAAAAGTATTTAAGGGTCAGCGCCACCCTTAGTTTCAGGCCAGAGGAGCCTCTGTTCTGGGGCCTCTGAAATTCTGAAAGTGAAAATGTTAGTCACTCAGTCGTGTCCAACTCTTTGTGACCCCACAGACTGTAACATTCCAGGCTCCTCTATCCATGGACTTCTCCAAGCAAGAATACCGATGTGGATTGCCATTCCCTTCTTCAGAGGATCTTCCCAACCCAGGGATCGAGCCCAGGTCTCCCAAATGGCAGGCAAATTCTTTGCCTTCTGAGCTACCAGGAAAGCCACGATTCTGAGAGCTGAGTGCATCACACACACACACACACACACACACACACACACATCTTGTAAAGAACGCGCAGTGCTTGTCACTGGAGCTTTGACAGGTGATACTGGAATAGTGCCGGCAACAACTCTAAGCATCCACTTAAGTGAATAACACAGCTCAGGCCCTAAAGAAACACATCTACACATTTTCTTGCTCTATGTCCGTGAAACAAAAAGTACCAGAGCTCAGATGCCATGAGGTTTGGGGTTCTACCTGTAGATGTCAGAAATAGACACAGCTTCAGAAGAGGGGAGGATCTGATCAGCAGAAACGCTTAGGTAAGATAAACAACTAATTAATTACCTTGTCAAATTCTTTCTCCTGGACAGGACAAACACAAGAGGTTCTGGCATAATGAAGCATTCTTTGTGAGGCTGAGAGTCCATTTTTCTGTTTCTCTCCCAATTTGTGAACCAGATGTACTGAAAAACATTTTGCAATAGTGAAATAATTCATAGTACTCTTAAATTTGCATATATATGGATCTAGATATAACAAGAATGAAGCATGGTATCAACTCCTGTGCTTGCGACTGGATAGTGAATGCTAGAATTGAAAGTAATCCTGCATTTGTAAACTATCTAATATGATTAGCTAAATTTGCAAAGTTAAATAAAAGTTCAACTTTAGAAATAGTTTCACTTTTTATAGTCATTAATGATATTTTCCATTTCCCCCTTGGATTTTAATAGAGATTTTTACTATTTTAAAAGAAAGTAATTTAGTAATGTGGAAAATGTTGATTTTTGTCACATTTGCTTTCATTTCTGTTTTGATATAAATATATGTAAATTGTTTGTACTTTAAGTACAACTACATTTTATTTTTAATCTTTGAAACATTGAGAATAAATATAAGGCAAGATCATGATAGGAACAAAAAAAAAAAAAAGAAAGTAGAGCTCAGAAAAAAACTGAAAAGAAAAAATAAATAAAATACCTTTGAATAAATGGTTCATCTAAATTTTTTAACCTAAAAATAATAATAATAAAATGAGAAGTCCATGTGCCTGCTTAGTCACTCAGTCGTGTCCAACTCTCTGCGATCCCATGGACTGTAGTCCGTTAGGCTCCTCTGTCCATGGGGATTCTCCAAGCAAGGATACTGGAGTGGGCAGCCTATCCCTTCTGCAGGGGATCTTCCCAACCCAGGAGTCAAACCAGGGTCTCCTATACAGCAGGCAGATTCTTTATCAGCTGAGCTACCAGGAAAGCCTGTGACAGGTATAACCCATCCAAAATTTACTAGTTAGATATTATAAATTCTACATTTAATAAAGTTTTAATTACTGATCAAACAATGAAAATGAGCCAGAGAATTATTCAAATAAAATTCACAACTTCAAGAGCTTAGATGAAATCCCTGAAACCTCATTTCTTTACTACGTGAAGACTCAATCACTGATCAAAGCAGTAAGAATGAAAAAGAGGATTGTTCATAATGAATTCACAACTCAGAAGCAGCAGGTGCAACTCTGGTCTGTCCATTGCAGGATGCAGAAAAATCCATTCATGACATCAGCAAATTGGATGAGCAAGATGAACTCTCTGGAGTATCACTCATTTATCGTAGGATGATCCTAAAATTGGCATCAAACCCTCTTTGACTACAAAGGAATATTTCTAGCAAAACACAATCCAATTCAAATCAGCTAATCCAATTTTTCATTGGATGAGTATGGCAGCAAATTCAGTATTTAATTTTATACCGTTCTTTCAAACAGAAAAAGAATCTCTAAAAGCAGGTTTTCATAGTCCAAGGAGAAAGACAAAGTGTGCTGTTACAGAAAGTGTTACATACTTTACAACCGATTTTCAAGATCACCTTTGGCCAAAGAAGTTATTTGTGACCAAAAGCATTTGGACTTTTAAAAACCATATAAAATGTCACTCATACACGTATGAAAAAAAGTACACATGCAAGCACCAAAAATTTAAAAGTGGGCTGAATAAATAGCAAATGACCAATCATGGTCAACAATGACAAGTAAACGCCAGTTTAGAAGTCTGTTGCGATGTTCTGAAAAAAATATTCTTTTGGGTCCAAGAGTTATGGTACTTTTTACAGCAATAATAGCACAATATTTACAGAACACAATACAATTTTTCTAGGTTTAAAAGAAATAATTCCAATTTTTATGTTAGAATGGCCAAAAATGGAAGACAGTTAAAAGTAATAAAACAAGCAATCACTATCTAGGATGGATAATTTTAAATTAAATTATTATTGTATCAGAAAACAAAGTGAGAGAATCATTCATATGTACCATAAAAACATAAGTAAACATTACTCAATGCAACTAGCTGTCAGTGTAACCACTGACAAAAGTCATATTGATCAACAAACTTTTGCTATGTGTGTTGTTGAAGAAGAAAACAAGAACATATTGCATTGTTTTCATACCTAGAAGTACAGTTTTTTTTAAAGTTAAGAATCTAGAAAAAGAACTTTCAATCTTAGGCATTGATTTGAAAGATTGTTGAGAGTAAGTCTATGAAATTGGCACAAACATAGTTGGTAACGAAAAGGGTGTATGGGCCAGAATTTTTTAAAAATTCAAAAGCATTCCACATGTAACTCATAGTAGGGATTTGTTACTAGGACACATGATCTCAAGTTGTGTGTGTCCTTCAGAATAACTAAGCAAGTATAAAAAGTATTTTCTGGATCTTCCCAAAATGGAAACAGTTTCATCAAACACATATCAAATTTGACTTTATAAGGTCCCTCATACATACAACAGGAATGCCAACTAATCACTGTTCGAGCAACTAGATTTAATTTAAACAAAATATGAGAAGAGTTAAGCAAAACAACAGAAGCTCTACCAAAAGCAGCAAATGGGTGGGAAATGAAATAATCTTGAATTTGCATTATCCACTGTTGCTCGGTATATATTATTGCTTGCTCTCAATAATATTATCGAAAGTTTCAAAAATAATAGTGTGTGTAAAAAAAAAAGAATAGTGTGTGTAGCTACTTAATTTTTTAATTATTAATTAAAAAAATACTTGTGAAATATGTGGCATTCCATTAATTATAACAAAATTAGTACCAAAAAATAATGGGATAACTATGAATATCTACATAAAAATAATTCCCAAGTTATTTTCTGTAGAGAATATTTTCTGGTCATTGTGGAATAAGAAATAGTCTCAGTTGAGTAGAGATCTGAAAAGGTTGAGTCATTTAGTGACATTTCAGTTTTCTTTAGACTATCCCACACTGAAAAAGTTGAAAAAAGGAATTAAGAAATATTGACTAAATCTAGACATTGCTTTAAGAGATGACTAAAATCGCTAACTGTGCTTAGTCGTTCAGTAGTGTTCGAGTCTTTGCAACCCCATGGACCATAGCCCTCCAGGCTTCTCTGCCCATGGAATTCTCCAGACAAGAATACTGGAGTGGGTTGTCATTTCCTCCTCCAGGGGATCTTCTGGACCCAGGGATCGAGCCAGTGTCTGCTGCATCTCCTGCATTGGCAGGCAGATTCTTTTACCACTGAACCACCTTTTTATCATATTTGATTCCATCATCATATGTGAACGTGACATGTACAATTCACAGTTCATTTTGGACTCAAACTATTGCTTGAAGTTTATTGACGACTCCAGGAGTTACTATTAAATAGATCACAAAGTTTCTCCAATTTGAAAATAATAAAAAACTAAGAACTATGATTACTCAAGAGAGGTCTAATGTGGCATTATTCCATATAATATGTAAGTTAGGTGAAAATATTTACTATGACAATAGAATTAATAATTTTGCTAAAATAAAAACAAGAAATGTAAACTTTATGCCATCAGTGTATAATTTATGAATTATGCATCTCTGCTCTATTACTTAGCATCCATGAGTGACCCATCAGCTGTATGTGTACATATACACAAGAATAACATTTGGTCATCTCTGATGTTTTGCCAACTTCCTGTCATGTAAAAAGTACACTCAAACAAATTTTAACATATGATATTTATTTTAATGTGTTAATGTTTAACATACATCTAAAATTTTAGCAAATATTTAAATTGTTCTTATGAAGGTGCAGCTCTCAAGTGAGCAAGATGGGACATGTTCTTCTTAATAGCTTGTTAGATTGATGGTATTTCAAACCATCATCACCGACAGTGTGGCGTGAGGGCTTCCACTTGAGCTCTTGTTCCAGAAATAGACCTTTTCTGATGTAACGACAGAGACATTTACCCCCTGTTCATTCAGTGACGTTCCTGGAACTCTGACAACCCTTTCCTTTCTCCTCTCCTTGCCTGGTTTTTAACTCAGTGTCTGTGAGGTGGAAGTGGAGGTTGGGGGAGCACCAAAGAGTGGCCTGTCTGCCGACCCCTGGGACTCGAGGTGCCCAGACAGAGTACTCAGCACCTGCCCCTGGACCCTTCAGCTGGTCTGTCTGCTGACTGCTCCCATACAGCAGGGCCCCTCCACCCCAAGTGCCCTATTTCTGTAGGACATGGTGGGGAAGATGGCCTGCTTGTGGTGTTGCAGAGTGACTGACCCTCTCATTAATCCTAGGACCCAGCATGTCCCCCTAGAACTAAAGCTTGGAGCTCCATCACTGACAGCCGCCCCTGACTGTCATGTCTGCAGTGGGGAAGCAGGGGTTCCCCCAAGTGGGGTCTGCAGCCAGCTGGCTGTGCCTTGGTTCCTGACCAAAACCAGATTCCCACGTCCACAGCCATGCTCTCCCTTCTGTGGATGAGTTTCCTGATGCTGCTGCAACAGGCGACCACAAACTTACTGGCTTAACACTACACAAATTTAGGGACTTCCCTGGTGGTCCTGTGGTTAAGAATATCCCTTGCCTTACAATGCATGGAATGCAGTTCGATCCCTAGTCAGGGAACTAGGATCCCACAGGTCACAGGGCAGCTAAGCCCACACCGCAACTAGAGAGAAGCAGGTGTGCCACAAAGAAGGTTTTGCATGACACAACTAAGACTTGACTCAAATAAATTTGGCTTATTTATTTCATAAGTAAAATGCTTTTTAAAAACCCATGCACTCTGTATAATAGGCTCTAGATTCATCCACCTCATTAGAACTGACTCAAATATGTTCCTTTTCATAGCTGAGTAATACTCCATTGTATATGTACCACATCTTCTTTATCCATTCATCTGTTGGTGGACATCTAGGTTGCTTCCATGTCCCAGCTATTGTAAATAGTGCTGCAATGAGCACTGGGGTACATGTGTCCTTTTCAATTATGGTTTCCTCAGGGTATATACAGAGTAGTGGGATTGTTGGATTATCATACAGAGTGAAATGAGTCAGAAAGAGGAAAAAAATCATATTAATATATGATAACAAATATCATATATTAACACATATATATGGAATCTAGAAAGATGGTACTGATGATTCTATTTGCAGGGCAGCAACGCAGACACAGACATAAAGGACA